ATCCTGAAATCTTGCTTCTGAAAACAAAAAGTAATTGATGTATGTTTTGTTTTAACTAGTCTTGTACATGTCATTTGAAGCAAGGCAATAATGAGAGGCATTCTATAGGTTATCCATTAAACATACAGAACTCTCATCTAAGCACTTTGTTACACTGGAGTTAATCATTCATTCTTCTGAGGTCCATCTTTTTCTACATACTGCTCATAGGTAAATTTACTACCTGCAAATATTCTTTTTTGGTTGAAGAATTTCCTGAAGGGAGAAAGTACGCTGTGTAAAGTAGATGGTCTTGTTATTCTTGCTGCTGTATCTGATGTTGCTAACTCCATGATCATTTTGTCAGGCTGCTCATTTCATATCTCTTTGAAACCTTTTAATAAGCATTATTTCATATAAGTTCTCCTTGCTTTAGTTTTGTTCCTTCTAAACAGGAGATACGGTTCTATGATAACAGTAGGCCCAATAAGATACTGCGTTAATGGTATAACATGGATATAAAAATAAAAAACCTGACTCTTAATCACTTGGTATTTTATTTTTGTAACTTCAGAATAGTCCAAAACTTTAAATGGAAACTTCCATCCACACTTATTTATAATTCATAATCCAAATAAAGATTGTTTTGAACTGTATTTGTTCTCATTAGCCAGGCACTGAGGGTGAGGGCGACAACATGCACAGTGTTTTAATTGGAAATTAAAAATGCTGTTTTTATAATGCATAATAAATACATTAAAACTTTGATGAGAGGTCTTCTGCTGATTTGCATATGCTGATCTGTATATTACTTGTCATATATTTCTACTATAACTGAATTGAGAACAGCTGAAGTTTAAGCAACCTTTGAATTTCATGAATTAATTTTAAAAAAAGGTTCATATTTTTATTTCATATTCCTTAAAGACTGTTGTGTAATTTGTCAGTATTAGCCATTTCCACATTGAATGAAATACTCTTGATGCTTGGAGTCTTCCGGCCTCATTTTATAGCCATATGCAAGAGCTGCTTTAAAGCGTCGATAGCACTGTGCACCTTAAAATTACTTGCACTAGAAATGGTGTAGAGAACAAGTAAATGATTGGTTCAAAAGTACATGGAATAGTAGAAGAAATTGGGTTTACATGTCCCCCTCTAATGTTAAGTGTTCTCAGCCCTTTTAAAGATTAATCTGGAGAGGGAAGACCCAGCTTAAACTTTGCTATTTTGTATTGCAGTTCAATGGTTTGTAGTTTATAAAAAGCATCAGATTAGTTTGTCCCACTTTTAATTCATGTTTCTCAGCTTCATCAATCTGAATCAATCAAGCTTAAGTCAGAATTTTTATGTGTACACTAGTGTTACAGACGGGATGTCTCTGGACAGATCATAAGGACCTTTTTCGTTATGGCTGCTTAGAAGTAAACCTTGTCTGTTAAAATGACTTAAAACATATATAATTTTTTATTAAATTTTATGTGTCTTCTCTTTTGTCTATTTACATGCTTATCTATGTATATTCAGGGTATTGGAGAATTGGTAGTTAGTTAAGCACAAACACGGTTTTGCAATGGTTCTGTATGTATTCTGGCTTGGTTTTACGATCTGGAGAAACAAGCATGCAAAACAGCCAGGTGTGTAGTGCTTAGAATCTTCTTAGTCCAAGTTGCTAAATAAACAATAATCTGAAATTTAAAAGATTATCATGGGATAGCTTGAATTTGTTCCTGTCGTATGAATAGCACTAACCTGAATTTTTCAGTATTTTCTGATTTGCTTTGAATTAAATTGCTCATAGGAATTTTCTAGATGAAAATGCTGTTTTAAATGTACAAATAGCCATTTTAAAAGATCCTTAGAAGTATTTAAACTTGTCCATTGGAAGTTACACTGGAAAATGTAACTTGAGCACTAGTTTCCATGAAGCTGCCTGTGCCTTGACTAAGTGTTGGAGAATGGGTCTCCTCAAATTGAAGACACTTTTGAAACTGAAAACACTCCTGCATCTCCGATATCAGTAGCATGTGATGTAGAACTTCAAATAATAGTGAGATCCTTCATAAAATAAGGCATTGTGTGGAGTAAAGGGAAAGGAAAGAGGTCACTGAGAAAAAGCCATTCAGCTGTCTGATTAATTTGTCTTTTTATTTGATTAATGCAGAGTAATTAATTACAATCTCTGATCTTAAAATTGACAGTCCTATGTAAATTTCAGCTATTATTATCTTGCATCATGTTGCATCCTAACAAAGACTTTGAGGTTGGAAGTCACCTCTGGAAGTCATCTGGTCCATACCCCCTGCTCAGGCAGGGACACCTCTAGTCATTAATGTTTAGAAATTAGCGTTCTTCAGCCCCACTATTGTTGTGGACTCCTTCTACCCACTACTTTGCCTGTAATACTTACCTGTCTGGAAAGGCTTTAACTTTACAAGTGGTCTGAGTTGCAATAGTATTGGTTCCTGTAATGTTTCAGGGATCACAACGTGTGGCCTTTCTGAACAGAAGTAATTTTCTGATGTGTATTTTTTATACATTTATATTGTAATGGAAGACAAATTTTTGCTTTTTTCTGTTCCAGGTTTTCATGTCATGTTATTACCAACACATTCAAACCCAGAAGTGTTCCTATAAATGCAGATCCAGCAGATGTATATGAGTGACAAATTTTGTGCTAGAAAAATTAATCAGGAAGTTTTGCTTAAGTATACATAGCAATAAGACACCTTAAAATGTTATGTGAACTTATAAACAAAAAACACCACTCCTTCTTAGCCAACTTGGTTGATCATGGAACAATTTCCAGAGCTGCAGCTGTTTCTGTAATGTGCAATTAGGGATCTAAATTAAAGTGCTGAACTCCTTTACAGATGTGTTTAATCTTTATGTGATAGATCCTGTAACATGCAAATGACCAGGTTCTGTGCCCCATTCCCCATGTATTAAGCTTTCTAATAAGTGGAACTTCTCTATAGTGGAAGACAGATCTGTGACTTAATTTGAGATGGCCATGAGTTATGCAAAATCATATATAAATGAATGTCTTCCAGTGGTGCTTCAAAAACCCAGAGTATTTGCTTTCCTCATTATTATTATTACTATTATTATTTAGAATGAGCATTCTGCACACTCATTACTCAAGGATTGCACATTGGAAGACTGGCTCAAACATACTATTTTTCCTAACATTGGCCCTGTGTGAGAGAAGTCTAAACTGACCCTGACTCTTTGCTAGGGAGTTGGGATATACTGGAAGAGTGTGTGTACTTATAGATGTATAAATGCTACCCTCCATGTTAGTAATGAATTGATTAACATTTAACAAGCTGACAAATAGCTTCCTTCTGGACTTGAAAAAAATCTAAGTGTCTTAGAAAAAATATTTGCTGTGTCTGAAAATAAGCTTGAAAATTAATGCATTTTTCCTAAATTGAAAATTTTCAAACTTGTTAAACAAGATGAAATAGCTAAATTGAGCAGCAGGTTGGTAACTGCTGTTTCAGATAACTGCATGGGCTTTAACTGCCTCTGGAGGTGTGGGATGGAGCTGTATAGATTGGAAGCTACACTAGCTTTGTGGTAGCAGAGGTAAAAGGAAGAAGGTAAGGAATCATTTCTAGTTCAGTGATACCTATAAATATCTTGTGGGAAATAATCAAAGGAACACCTAAGATTTTTTCTATGAGATTTGAGACACAGCTTGTTATGACGCATTGATATAATCCTTTTTTATGAGTCACAGGCTCAGTCTATAGACCTATTTCAACATCTGTCTAATTTTTAACATGTGGGCAATTGCCATGTGAAGACTCTCAGGCAACTTTATATGGGGTGTGAGATATATCCACATTCTTGCTTGGTATTTTTTGTGAAGAGCTTCAGGACTTTAGTCACATTTAATGTGGATGGAAAATTTAAAAGCAAGATCAGAGCTGACAATGGCAGATTTACGGAGCTATGTGAATACACTTTTAGGACTAGTACCATAGTATGTAACACATTTTGGATATTCTTTCTGATGAGAAAAGATACGATGGTGTTAATTTGCCAGTGCTGTTTTCTACGTTTGAAAATGAAATGAGTTGATTGATTTCAGCTATGTTACCTTTTATTCTGAAAAGCAGTAGTGTGTTTGAGAACAAAGCAAAACAGTAAAAATCTTTGTGAATGCCTGTTTGAGGTACTAGTTTATTTCTACCTGTACCACAGGCTTACATTCAAAAGGCCAATTTTGTATTATCTGTAGTATGTTCTTACAGTAGAAACTTGCTACGGGTCATTTCAGAAGGGAAAACTATAATTTATAAAATGGGTTTAACCAGTTGTAAAGAAGACCAATAATCTCAACAGCGTAACACTGTTTAGTGTAGGTACAAAGTTACCAGTACTGCCAAATCATTTGTACTCTCTTGTGCTGCTAATGTTATTTTCGGTCTGATCAATATTACACAGTTGGGACATTCTTCCGCTATGTACATGAAAACAATTCTATTTTCCCAGCTATATTGTAATCCGATTATTTACTTTCAGAGGTCTGCAGGTTTACCGTGTTTCTTTCGTTTCTCACAAATTAATTTTATTTTTTTTTTTGACTTGGAGTGGAAGGATTAGTAACTCGACTGACTTTGAAAGTATGAACATTTACCTAAAACTGAGTACTGATTCTTTGTAAAATTAGAACTTGCACTGCATTTTGTATTTAAATGCAATGAAAATGGTATCAGCTGCTCAGTGCAGTACTGCGTATTTGAAAACAGCTTGTCAAAACACTTTCTAATTAGTGTGTGCAGTAATTTGCTTTTCTTTAATGCTATTAAAATTCAAGATTTTTGAAGGAAACACATCCTTTGTTAGACTTTTTTAATGTTCAAGTCCTGATATGGAATTTTTGCCTGGCTTCTAACCTTTGCTTCATTTCTCTGATTAATAAATTTAGGTCTTCTGTAATGAATTTGGATGTATGCTATTTGTCATTTAAGTATAGCCTGCCTGGCACTGATGATTTATTTTACTTTTTAAAGGCCATGGTTAAAAGTTTTATGGATGTCTACCAGCTTGCAAGTTCCAGAATTGACATGCTGCTGAGAGAAACAGCATCTCATAAGCTTCCCACTTCAGCCCCGAAGTCCAAGAGCCAAACAGCTTGTCTTCATGAAAATGAGAACCTGCAATTGGTAAGTCTGCTTTTCAGTTAGTTTTTGTCATGTGGCTGTGGTTTCCTAGCCGGCATCTCCCTTCATGCTGCACAGTATCTGTAGGGAAATTCAGTAATATTTCATTATAAACATAATAGAGCAATAACATTTGTGTCAACAGAAACCTTCCAAGACTTTAATAGAAGAGAAAGGGGGTGGTAAAAGTTAACATGAGGATTAATTTTACTACTGTATCTTCTACAAGGACTTATTGATTGCTGCTGTCACTAGAAAATTATACGTTGTGATTTCTTGGGTTTTGACAGTAGAGTGACTGGTTAAACCAGAATATTATTAACTGTGCATGTAAACAAAATATTTGTTAGGAGAAATGCTGGCATTTTTTTAAACAATAGTAGTTATGAATAATACTTCATGCTAAAGTTGCAGGGTTAAAATCCAATTTCAGAAATAATTTCTTGTTGCCTACAAAGATACTTGGAGTTGTTTAAGGCTAATAAGGTGATTCTTCAGATATGAGAGCTCTCTCTAGGGGGATTACTGAATGCAGATGTATTTGTGTCCCACAGGCAGGAGGCCAGACACATAAACTGTCATAAATATGTAGCCAAGTATGTCTAGAATGAGACTGTGCAAGCTGTGCAAGTTGCATACACTTGATGTATTTCTTCTCCATCTTTCTTTATTTTGCCATGTGGAATAAAAGAGAAAATTTGGAGGGTTGTTACTTTTTTGGTAATGTTTTGGTGTTCGGTGGGTTTTTTTTGTGTGTTCTCTCTTTTGTCCTTTCGCCTCTTTTATTCTTGTGAAGCAAAGGATCATAAAGAAAATGAGGATGTTTGCCTTTTTGAAATTGAGGATCGGTTAAGAAGAGATCCTTCACTAATTCAACTGACATAAACACAACAGCAAATGTATATTCAAAGACTGTGGCTGTGGCCTTGGTTGTTTCCAACAGAATTACATTAATTTTTTATCCTGCTTCTATATTGGATCAGTACAATGGGAAATTATTGCAAACAGAAAATATACTAATCAGTGTTGAATTTTAGTTTTCAGAGTTGAATGAAAGCTTTGTTTTATTTGTGACTGCACAACCTTTCTAGGAAACTAAATGAGATCACTTCACTAAAATTGTTCCTTTTCTCCGCCACCCAGGCTTTATGTTTTTTACTAAGTTTACATGTGTCCTGCTGAGCCTGTGCCCAGTGTAATTGGGTTGCCGCTTTTCCTGTTATGATTGGTTTTGTTGTTTAAATCAAGATGACCACTTCTGTACTAATGATTGGGAAGTGTGCCAATCTTGTTGCAGCAAGGTTTGCTTCATTTGGGTTGAGAGAGCTTTTAGCAAAGTTATGCTAGTCCTGCCTGTAAAGGGTTATGCAGTGACTTGATATGTTACAGTGAAAACAAATACCTTGCCCTCCCATCTCTCTCATACCTGTGGGTAAATACAGTGCCTTTAAAGTAATTTGTGTCTGCCTACGGTATCAATGTAAAGATGATACTTTCTGCATTGTCGTAGGATCTGTTGGCCTTCCTATAGAGCCCTCTAGGGAAAATAATAGTTCTTCCTTTAGATGCAGCTTAATTTGAGCCAAAGCATGAGCATTAATGGAAAGTGGGTTAGAATTCTAATGTAGAGGCAAAAAATTTAGAATTATATGTGTTCAAGTTTCAATTAAAAAAAAATGTGCTTATGGTATCTTGTACTATATTTTGATGTTCTGTAAACTTGTCCCTAATATTTGGAAAAGTTGCATCAAGCATGACTTCAGCCATCACAGCTTTCAGGAGCAACCGACATTAGAGTTTCTACCAGTGCTGTTCTGTTCTGATTTTAAGGAAGAAGTTTGTACTATTTTTTTTTTCTGTATTAAAAGAGTAGAACACATATTTTTGCTTGATTATTTGAAATGAAAGGGAGTAATGACTTTTCTTGAATATCTGTTTGGTTTCAGAGTTGTACACACCTTGCTGGTTTCAGTCCACTGTGTTCAATCATATATCCAGTTCTGGTAACGTTGCAGGCAAAACTTTTTATGTAGGAGATAAATACAGCAGCTGGACTGTATTAATTGCAGGTCTTCATATGACAGATGCTTGTATTCCTAGAACAGCAACCTATTACTGAGTGCTAAAGTACATTTTTGAAAAGTCTTTTGGGTGTATACCATCTGTGGACTGTTACCTTATAAGATTAGGGTTTTTCTCAGTATGTTGTGGCTGTCTTTAGATATCTGGGCGCTGGTTATATAAGGTTCGTGCCCTCCCAGCTGTCCACTGCATCTGAATTTGAGCCATTCATCAGTACTCATCTTTTCCATGTTCAGAAGGTAGTGCTTTTCTAATTGATCTTTTTTTGTACTGAAATTTGCTAACTATGTTGCCTTTCTATTCACACCGCTTTTTTTCTGTTCTGTGGCTTGGGTTTTGCTGATAATTGTGAAAAACAAAACTGATGCCATATGGCAATACCAGTGATTCTGACTTCTCATCTTTTATCTAAGACTCTGAAGTGATGTCTCCATCCTCCAGACTGCTTCTAGTCCAGCCACTTTCCTTCTAGTCAGTAGTGTTCAGATTCTGAGGTTATGTGTACTCATGCTAATGCCAACAGAGAAGAACAGGAAGGAGTATGATTATGATGGACAGAGATGAGATGAACGCTGGGAACACTGCTTACAGTGATGAGAATTATTATGTGGGCTGAAGGGGAGTCAGTAGCAGAATGTCTCTGTACTCTTCATTTGTGTCCAGCTGTCTGTTGTACTCATCTCTGATGATTCTTCCCCTGTGCAGAGAAAGGCCCTGTGCATTTTTCATTCTTGCAACTCTTAAAAATTTAGTATGCCTGAAATACAGATTATTGGTTTTCTACCTAAATATTTTTCTATTGTTCCCTATTCCTGTATTGATTTTCCATTTTGCCTTTTTTTTGTTTCTTTACCAAATGCTTCTGAAATTTCCCTTACATTTCTAAAATGTCAGTTTCTTTTTTTTGCAACCATAACAGTTTCATTTCTGTGCATTCCTTTTTTTTTTTAATTACTTTCTCTGAAGTGCAAGTGCCACAGTCACAATTCTGTCCTCCATTACTTGCTTCATTGCCACATACCACATATATGTCAGGTTATGCGTATAATTGGTAGACATGATGATGATCATAATAATAATAATAATTCAGCTAAGAAGATATCATTGATATGGCTGTATGTAGTCTTGGCTATAGGTATGTAGGTTGCAAGAGGAGGAACAGAGAAGCCAGCAGTCAGCCTCTAGCATGAAATAAGATAATTACTTCACTGAGCACTGAACTCATTACTGGACTGGCACTGCTGTTTTCTCCATGAAATTTAAGGAACTGTATTGTTTCCTTTTACATGACTCTGCCTTTATGTCTTATTATTTTCCTTAGAAGGTGGATTTAGTGGAAGTACTTCACTGGTAGTAGCTAACTAACTGTGTACACCATCTGTATGTAAGCGAAGAAGGTATCAGCTAAAATGTTCTTTCTTTTATTTCTGTTTTCCTGCCTGTTTCTTGCTCAGCAACATCTAGTAATATAAACATCATAAGCTGTGCTGTGCTTAGGGTTTCCTGGTAAATGAATGCTTGCCAGTTACTTTAGCAGTACTGGACTCTGCTGCTTTGGTCCACTTTAATTCTTCAGATACATTAGTTTATTACTATACTTAGACTTTCATTCAGAGTTGCAGTAATAAGTAGGCTTTGAACTGAGAGCTTTAAAATGCTGCACTGTGCAGTAGTATAGTCAAAAGCGATTATTCTGTGGGTGCTGGGGAGTGACATGATATTGTATTAGTCACATGGACAGCACATGAAACAGCGGTGTCTCTGCTGCCAGAGATTTTGTAGCTGCAATCACAGTGTTCTTGAGAGTGGATGCAGTGACACTGTATTTTCCAGTGTGACTTGATATATAGGAGGAACTGACAGAACATTATAAAATTTCTTCACAAAGTGTTCTGGTAGCTTTTGGCCCTGAGATACCAGTACTGATGTCAGGATTTTAAGAATTTAAAATATTCTGGTATCAGTTTTGGCAGGCAAAAAAAGCACTGTTATATTGCAGGTGGTCAGGTGTTTTTCTGATCCTGAACATGCAGCTGATCTGGTGATATTACTTCCTTTCTCTGCTTTCACTTCAGAATCAAAGGAGTGCAGAAAACAAAGTGTGAAATAACAGTGATTTATAAAGATAACAGAAAGAAATAAGCTTTGTGTGCACAGGATAAATGGGAATTTGGGGAGCTAAACTGAAAGGGGGAGAGGGTGCATTTCAGATGGGTGAGAGGTGAAGTTCTGTAGAACTGGAAGAAGAGCAGGGTTCTCTAACTGTGAAAACGTAGTTGTCTTTGGATGCTTCTAACTGAGTTTGAAAATTGAATCACTCATTGCTCTGTGTGGCTTTGCATCATCCTTACTTCTTCCCCCGCCCCTTGCAGTTGTGGTTGTCTCTGTCCTTTGTCTGAAAATGCCTAATGATGTCACTGAAAGTACTGGAAAGACATAATTATATGTTTTGGTAAGATGAGATAAGCAAGGAGAATCATCTTACATGTGGAAAATCCTTATTTATTGTTGAGATGCTAGTAATAGACGTATGCTTGTATTTTTTTGATGAGGAACTACATTAAGCAAAAAGTACATTTTTCTTTCTACTCAGAGCAGTCAGCTCTCAGTTCTTATGATCTACTTGAATCCTGGTCATGGAGGGGTGTAGAGAGAAAAGAAATATTTAAAACTCAAAATTTAACTACACCAGTTTCTTAGCCTGGCTGTTCTGGGCAGTGGTTTTACTTATCTTTCTTCTCATATACCCTTTGTTCCCTTGTTACCAGTTCAGCCTGCATTTTAAGACTGAGACGCATCTAATAGGGACACAATGCCTTACATTTGCAATTATGAGGACAGAGCTGGAGTGAAAATAAAACACCCTGTTTGCCTTTTCACTTGCTGCATAGGAGAAAGGGATTTACTCCATCGGTGTCATG